CCCCAGTTTCGGCAGTTGCTCGTCGTTACTTCTTACCCTACCCATTTGAATTTTCAGGTTCAAAACAGAATTACGCGAGAAAATACACTATCCCCATTGATCTGTTGACATTCGATTTTCAAGTTTTGGATGACAAGAAGTATGAAGTCCCTCCCGAGGATGGTAATGTATTACTGTACCATTTGATATTCATTCTACTTCAGTAGACCACCAATTTCTAGGGGAAACATTTAATAATTATGAAGTGAATCTTGTGGAATTTTGAACTTTGAATACATGCGCGGGTTTCACTTCTGCCACTGGCGTTCAATCTTTTCAGTGACAAGAGGGAGGAGGCGTTCAGTTTAAATTCGCCAAAGGTTGCCTGCAGATACTTCAGTTTCCTCGAGTAATAACTCTGGACCAATAACAAACGATCCATGCAGTGTAGATTTAAATTTAGTTATTAATTCGTCTGGTGCTACACTCGTAAAAATCTCACAGCTTTTCAGCAAGATGTGTTCGCACTGCTTGTCCCCAGTTCGACACAAGTCTGGAACAAGTTGTTATCATCTTGTAACAAAATTGATGAGGCCAACAGACTCGCAACAAGTTGTTCCAACAAGTCTGATATCGTCTGCATGTAACAAGTTGTTATAACAAGTTGATGACAACAAGCTCGTAGCAACTTGTTACGAACAGCTTGTATTAGTCTTGTTGGAACAACCTGTAGCAAATCTGTTAGTCACAACAACTGGGAACAAGCAGTGCGAACACATCCTGATACCGGATTGACAACAACCTTGTTACAACGTGTTTTCAGATCTGTAACAACTTGTGCTAAGGTATAACGTCAATGCATTTTTTTCAGGCGTCTATGTGAACGGTCTGTTCATGGAGGGGGCAAAATGGGACCGAGAAAATAAAGTGATCGGTGAATCTGTTCCGAAAGTCTTACATGATACAATGCCAGTGGTAAGTAACGTTTGCCATCACAAGCGAAATAATTTAGCAACTTGTGAAATGTATCAATTCATTTGTTTGGAATGTACAAAGGTTTTCACGTGACCTAATCTTCGAAATTGGATTGGGTCTGGAACTCGTTAGTTATTCATGATTTCCGGAAAAATTACAAAATTTGTCCTGAAGAAAGGTGGG